GACGCACATCGCCCCTGGGAGGTAGGGCCAGGTAGCGTGGGGCGCCGCGCATGCGCGAGCGAGCGCGGTGGTGCTCGCGCCCGGCTTGCGCGCGGCGCCGCCGTGACTGCTGCGGCGAGACACCAGGGGACCCTTGCGCGTAGGCGGGGCCACGAGGCGGCGGCGGCCGGCCCAGGGCGCCGCGCCGCGCAGGTGCCATTGGGGCTGGATCCACTCGCAAAGCAGCAGCACTGATGGCCGGGGCGCCAAAATAAATTAGAGCGCAGCGCGCTTGTGCGCGTGCCAGCAAAGCCTGGGAGTGCCGGTGGCTGGCTGGGCCATTGAAGGGCCCCCTGCCTTGGGTTTTCTCAATGTTTGGTCATAAGAGCCCTGGTTTCCCTTGCCTTGCCCCGTGGGCACGGCATTCATCCCGCCGGTTCGCATGGAAGAGCCCTTGTCAATTGGCAACAAATCACAAAATCACCCCTTTGGTTTTCGAGCCCATGGGGCCCATCAAGCCTTGTCAGCTTGTGTTCAAAGAAGAACATGGATCGGTCGCTGTTGTACGCATTGCAGGTACCCGCAGCACGCCGGTTCGAGCCCCCCCATGTGCGCATATGGATTTGCGAAGCGCACGCACCGCCGCTCAGTGCCACATGCGCGCCGTCGGGCCTCTTGTGGCCCCCGCCTTTGCGGCCGAGGCCGGAGGAGTCGCGGACGCAGCCTCGGGGCGCGCCGCGCTGAGTCTCTCCATGTGTTTTTGATACCTGTCAGGTGCGCCCCCAAGGGCGCCGGGCGCGATCGTGCGCCGTGCGCCGTGGGGCCCAGGGCTGGCCGCGCGCCCTGGGCTGGTGCTGCCCGGCCTGAGGCCGGGTGAAGGCGCCACCGCCGTCGCAGCCGCAGCGCCGCCGCCGCACGCGCCGTCTGCCCGCGAAAGTGGCGGCGGCCGGGGCCGGGGGCTGGCGACCGCGGGCGTTCCTCGCTCCGCGACAGGAGCCGTGCGGATCTTTGGTGACGTGTTCGCGGCCCGCCCAGCCGCCGCGGCCTTGGCGGCGGGCGCTGCGGGCGCTGTGGGAGCGCCGGCGCCGGCGCCAGCATCTGCGCCGCGCTGGCGCTGCAGCGATTGGTATTGCCGCTCGGACCGCGGGTGCGCAGTGCAGGACGGTGCTGCCGACGCGCCCCGCGACCACAGGGGTCTGGGCGGCGCTGCTGCCTGCTGCTGCTGCTGCTTCTGCTGCTGCTTAGACTGCTGCTGCTGCTGCTGCTGCTGCTGCTGCTGCTGCTGCTGCTGCTGCTGCTGCTGCTGCTGCTTCTGCTGCTGCTGCTGCTGCTGTTGCTCCTCCGCCGCCCGCTCCGCCCTCAGCCCTCGCAGTCGTCCCTCCTCCTCCTCCGCAGCCGCCCGCGCCCGCGCGAGCCGCGCCTCCTCGCACGCCGCCGCCGCGGCCGCCGCCGCCGCCGCGCG